GCTCCCTGTCCGGATTCGGCTGAAGGCACTGGGTTTGGCGAGGTCTGGGTGCGCGCGGCGTGAGCTCGTCGATCGCAATGTGCGTGAGGAATTTGGTAGTTATCAGTCTGCCGGATGATATCAGGGAGGCTCGTGGGCGCTAGCCTTGCCTCTTCGTAATTCGGCGGCCCATTGATTTAAGGTTGTGTTCTGGGTTCGCGATATATCATCAGATGGCAAAATTTGGCACCATTAGAGGTCTACCCGCATTTGCTTGAGCGTGAAGATCGGGAGCTAATTTTGGAACGCTCGACAAAACGGTGTTGATGCATCTACAGTGAAATGGAACGTTTCCTACCTGTTGAACTAGGCCATGTTCTCTTTAGAATGCGGAGCTTGGGGTCAGTGGCGTCTTCTTTTACGCTCATCCACAAGTCAAATCCAATACGGTATCTCAAGTCGCTAATGCTCGAACTGCTCAAAGGATTTCCCATCTGGTATTCAGTAAAATAATAGGCGTGCGGCTTTGCTACCTTGATCACAATATCCCAAGCTCGGTCAGGTCAAGGCTGTCTAAAGTGACGTCACTTATCTAATGTCACGTCACGTGTCGCGTATGCCTATGTACAGGCTGTGAGCCTTGAAGCTGCGTTGGTTATGTCTAGCTGAATTCACAGCGTCTATCAACGCAGTTTTTACTGAGGCACAACGTTCTAGACCATTCTTGTTTTATCCTGGGAGAGAACTCGTGCTAAGTCACAATCAAGGAGCCAGTTGCTTACAGCGCCATTATCAACGCAACCTTTGGCCGGATTTTTCGCCGGATTCTGAAACCATTAGCATTGGTTTGCACATTTTCGGTTTTTTTCTTTGCATAAGCCTGCCTGACCTGTCTTCGGACCTTCTGTCTGCCCGGGGAATTGAGAAAATTCAGAGCTGTCTCGGCCGATTCTGTCTTGGACGGACGTGCCCCGGGACGACATGGCCAGACGACATGGCCAACAGGGACCGTGGAGCCTCAGGGCCCAAGGTCTGCGCAGCTCCCGAGCGGGCAGCGACCATCCAGTCGCTGCAGCGGCTTCTTCCTCACAGACCGGTTTACAGCGGTTAGACCACAGGTCAACACCGATTGGACCTCCAGCCGCAGAGTCCTGGTGACGTCCCCGGCCAGCCCAGCCGGGCGGCGCGGACCAGCGCGGCTGACGGCCTGACCTGACCTGACGGGGTCACCCCTCGGCCCCGGGCGTCTGTCGCTCCCACGGTGTGCGCCGACCGACCCCGACCGAGGCCCGCACGCTCCCACGCCCCGCGGCGCCACTGATCCTGCGCGAGGCTCGGCCTCGGACCTGGCCAGCGGCAGCGGCGGCGGCTCGCCTCCCGTCCGCCGCGCCACGGCCGACGCCGCACCGCATCGCTCGCTGGCCGCATTCCTGGGATCAGCCCGCAGCCGCCGCCGCGTCGACCGGCGACCGCTGAGCGCCCCCCCCCCCCCCCCCCCCCCGCCTACTCGCCCGCGGTCGGAGAGGACGCCCGGGGCATTCCGGTAGGGGAGGGGCGGCGTCGCAGACGAGACGACTGGGAGAGCCGCCCATGACGCGGGGTTTACCACCTGCCACGCGATTCCAGGACAGGTTAGCCAGGTCCCGTTAATGCCAGGCAGTGTCGGGTATTTGATCATCGCACTCGGAGCCCGCTGGGACAAATGTATTGTGATTTTACAAAGCCGGGCACCAGCCCCATTCTTACGCCGAATTCTCCGCCCCAGATAGACGGCTTAACACACCGGCCCGATTGCTTGACTTGACCAGTCTGATGACTTGACTCGGCCAGTCCGGTGAGAAATTATTGGCAGTTGCTAATGATGTCGCCGCCCCGCACTTCCTGTTTCTGATCATTTAATAGACGGATCTTTTTATCGCGGGCACCGGCGCCACAAATGCTGCCGTGGAAGCAGCTGAGAGTTGCCTGGAAATTCGCAAGGCTTGGTTGAGTCCTGCCAGGACGCGCGTGCAACGACCTGATGTTCTTTCTGCTACTCTTTCAACACACTCATTGTGGATCTCGCTATCAGTGTCACATCCAGTGGACCATCTAGTAGCCTTTCAATAGCCTTTTCGTGCACCTTCTCATGTACGGCTCTATTCAAGCTCTCTCCCGCATGCACGTCTCGCTTTCTTCTTTCTAAGAAAACGGACTTGTGTCACTCCTGCCAACCGCCGATTAACCGTAGCAGATCTCAACATCTCCTCCAGCAGACCGCATTTCATGTGGTCGCTTGATGCGGCGATAAGCCTGTGCCAGAGCGTTGCCACATGCTGCTGAGCCCTGCCAGAGACCTTGCTCACTGGATAACATACCGGTCTGCGGTCGCCAATCGGGCACGTGAGGACGCGAAAGTGGACATGACGTCAGCTGAAGCTGACGGGGCTGTCTCACCTAAACTGGGGCGGTGCTGCCGTGGTGGTTAGGGTGCTCGTCTCTGGATCTTTTGGTCCCAGGTTCGGGTCCTTTCCGCACCTCTACTGCGTTTCACTTGGTACCTTAAAATGGCATCCCGCCTCGAAATAGCCCTGGCAGTCGGTGAGACGCGCAGTTATCTCCTAAACTCCGACAAGAAAATAGCTCAAGACGCGTCTGCTTGGGCGTGGCTTAAGCCTATGCAGTCGCAGCACCGCAGCGCAGTCTGATGCAAGGCAGCGCCGGCTGGAACTGTCGGCAGGTGTCGCCGAGTCGCAGCACCGCAGCACAGTCTGGTGCGAGGCAGTGCCGGCTGAAACTGTCAGCAGGTGTCGTCGAGACACAGCACCGCGGCACAGTCTGATGCGAGACAGCGCCGGCTGGAACTGTCGGCAGGTGTCGCCGAGTCGCAGCACCGCAGCCAGTCTGGTGCGAGACAGCGCCGGCTGGAACTGTTGGCAGGTGTCGCCGAGTCGCAGCACCGCAGCCAGTCTGGCGCGAGACAGCGCCGGCTGGAACTGTTGGCAAGTGTTGCTGAGTCGCAGCACCGCAGCACAGTCTGGTGCGAGGCAGCGCCGGCTGGAACTGTCGGCAGGTGTTGCTGAGCCGCAGCACCGCAGCACAGTCTGATGCGAGACAGCGCCGGCTGGAACTGTCGGCAGGTGTTGCTGAGTCGCAGCACCGCAGCACAGTTTGGTGCGAGGCAGCGCTGGCTGGAACTGTCGGCAGGTGTTGCTGAGTCGCAGCACCGCAGAGCAGTCTGATGCGAGACAGCACCGGCTGAGATTGTCAGCAGGTATCGCCGAGTCGCAGCACCGCAGCACAGTTTGGTGCGAGGCAGCGCTGGCTGGAACTGTCGGCAGGTGTTGCTGAGTCGCAGCACCGCAGCACAGTCTGATGCGAGACAGTGCCAGCTGGAACTGTCGGCAGGTGTTGCTGAGTCGCAGCACCGCAGCACAGTTTGGTGCGAGGCAGCGCTGGCTGGAACTGTTGGCAGGTGTTGCCGAGTCGCAGCACCGCAGCACAGTTTGGTGCGAGGCAGCGCTGGCTGGAACTGTCGGCAGGTGTTGCTGAGTCGCAGCACCGCAGCACAGTTTGGTGCGAGGCAGCGCTGGCTGGAACTGTCGGCAGGTGTTGCCGAGTCGCAGCACCGCAGCGCAGTCTGATGCGAGACAGCGCCGGCTGAAACTGTCGGCAGGTGTCGCCGAGTCGCAGCACCGCAGCACAGTCTGGTGCGAGACAGCGCCGGCTGGAACTGTTAGCAGGTGTCGCCGAGTCGCAGCACCGCAGCGCAGTCTGATGCGAGACAGCGCCGGCTGGAACTGTCGGCAGGTGTTGCTGAGTCGCAGCACCGCAGCATAGTTTGGTGCGAGGCAGCGCTGGCTGGAACTGTCGGCAGGTTTTGCCGAGTCGCAGCACCGCAGAGCGTGATAAACTGACGACTGACATCAGGCGGAGATCGACATAGTCGTACATTGAAAAAGCCTTCGTCAAGAACTCTAGTCCTGTTTTCAGGCTCGCATGCCTCTGACGGAACTACCTGGCAGCATGATGCACTCTAGTCGCTGTTTATGTTTCTTGGGATGGGGAGTGGGGGTGCCGCGAACGAATATGCGCAGACATGCGATATTAATGAAACCCTTGCTGTTTCACACTTCAGTCGCGCTTATCTAAACGGCTTGATTGAACTGACAAGTATGACACTGGGTTACAGATATCTACAAGTCAAGGATCGCATGACCTATATCTGTTTCTGAGTTTTCTGTTTATCATAACTTTGCACGTTCTTCATAAATCTACGAATGTCCTGACGCTCGGTTATGATTCGGAACACCGATGTAGCGTGTCATATGCCATCGAATCCCCGAACAGAGTTCTGTCAGCTGTGGTCGCAAGTACAAATGCAGAAAGAGAAACCTACTGGTTCAGTGGTATATATATATATATATATATATATATATATATATATATATATATATATAGGCACAAACATCGACATCATTGACATCAACATTGACATCGACAAACACTGAGATCGATTTGATTTATCCATCCGATACAATGCAGTTCTCAGTGTTCAGGCTTACCAGGCTTATGATGCGGCGCGGAGCCTGTACGATTAACCAGGAGGAAGCTGACCGCAGCCAAAATGGCTGTACTGGACACCAGGCCATGGGCTGGTTGCGCAACACACTGGTCAGTAACATATTCCCTTCTCTGATGACGCAAATTCTCAATGCCTTCACGCGACGCTAATTGGCTGCAAGCTCCGTCACAAGAACATGACATTAGAAATGGTGTTAAGTCTCCTAACTGAGCCGTTCACTGCAATCAATCCATCAGGATCCTAGGAATGTTCTTCTTATCAATGGCACACTTGAATCGCTATAAATATCCCCGCAGGGGGAGAGAGGAAGTAACCACTGACAAAGGTGAGAACCGGCTGTGATGCCGTCAGATTGTTCGCCCATGGACTCCTCCACATCAGCGCGCCGTCTCTCGGTGCCCCCCCCCCCCCCCCCCCCCACCGACCGCAGAGCGTGCTGAGCCCGGTCCGCCGGCAGGTTCGAGACCACCAACGGCATCAAGCGCGAGGAGGTGGGCAAGATCTATAGCGGCCCCAACAACGAGACAGGCGTGCTGGCAACCGAGGGCCGCGTGCACTGGACCGCCCCGGACGGCATGCGCATCGAGATGCACTGGCACGCCGACGAGAACGGCTTCCAGCCCAGGGTGAGTAGGTCACCAGGCGCCGCACCTCGCGGGTCACAGGTCACCACAGCTCGCTCGAGGCAGCCACCAGCCCGACGCGAGGGCACCACTCGGCACGGGGTCGCAGGTCATCAACAACGCTCATGAGAAGTGCCAGCTGAGATAGAGTCAGTGAAAGAGCCACAGTTGCTCCTGCAGAATCACGGGTCATTAGCTGATGCTGATGAACAGCATCAGCATCAGCTGGTGAACGGCTGATGAACGGCTACCAACAGGATGGGTGGGGGAGGGGGAGGGGGTGAAGGCCGTCGCCAGTCGAACAGCGTCGCAGGTCGCCGACTGCCGGCCAGGGGAGGGAATGGTCAGAAGCTGGGACATCGGGCGCTTTCCCTACCACCTGCCGAATGCCTGGAGACCTAGGGCAAACGGCAAACCAGCAACTGATCGCTCACGTGCGACGCATCAGGCCGTCAACTGGCTGCGCAGGCACGATCGTTGAGACGTCACCTGGATGGTCCGTCGCGGGTGTCAGGTCATCACATGGCCGAACAGGTGCACAGTGTCGGGTCACCAAATGGTTACCCAGGTGCGACTTGCCAGGTCATTCCCCGGCTGCTCATGTACGGATGGACGGATCACCAGACGACTCCATGTCAGGATGACATGCCAGGGGACCAGCTGGCTACCCTCTGACGTGCACTCCTACGTCACCATGACAGCTGGCCATGTGAGACTGTCGGGTCACCACTGGCTGCCCAGGCACGGAGCGGGACGTCATGCGCTGGCTGGCCAGGGGACCGAGCCACTGGCCATGTGAGACTGTCAGGTCACCACTGCCTGTTCAAGCACGGAGCGGGACGTCATGCGGTGGCTAGCCAGGAGACTGAGCCACTGGCCATGTGAGACTGCCAGGTCACCACTGCTTGTTCAAGCACGGAGCCGGACGTCATGCGCTGGCTGGCCAGGGGACCGAGCCACTGGCCATGTGAGACTGTCAGGTCACCACTGGCTGGTCAGGCAAGGAGCCGGACGTCATGTGCTGGCTGGCCAGGGGACCGAGCCACTGGCCATGTGAGACTGCCAGGTCACCACTGGCTGTTCAAGCACGGAGCCGGACGTCATGCGCTGGCTGGCCAGGGGACCGAGCCACTGGCTATGTATGTGAGACTGTCAGGTCACCACTGGCTGGTCAGGCACGGAGCCGGACGTCATGCGCTGGCTGGCCAGGGGACCGAGCCACAGGCCATGTGAGACTGCCAGGTCACCACTGGCTGGTCAGGCACGGAGCCGGACGTCATGCGCTGGCTGGCCAGGGGACCGAGTCATCATGTACCGGCTCAGGATGGCGGGACCCGATGATTGGCGTCAGACATTGCTGACATGACAATCGTGGAACCTGACGTGATGAAGGCCGTTAAATCCGTGTCCGTGTATCTCGCGATGTCCCAGTCGATGTGAATGTATTACTTCTGCAGAACATTCGGCCAGACTTTTAATCTAAATCTCTTGTTGTTTCGGTATTTTCCAAGGCGATAACGACAGCTTATATACCTAAAACACAACATTACAGATACACGCAAAATACGCCACGCATCTTCAACGTTTTTGATCGAAATGTTTGCTTATGCAACAAGTTTTGTGTGCGTGATCTGTTTTCTGTAATTCCTCTGGTATAGTGAAGGTCGGTTACCGTCATTGAGATGTCATAGCGCATTACTGGCCATCCAAAAACGTTCAAATGCTGTGCATTCAATCAGGCCAGTTTTAACCCTAAAAGCGTTTTTGCGAACAAATGATCCTAAGTAGGATCATCAGGAATCAGTCGCATTCTTCGCATCACACATGTGATTGATCAGAGCATGTAGCTTTGAACCATGATTACCGCGACGAAAACGAGAGTATAACTGTCTGAAGCCATCCTTTAGATAATTCATCTCGTGCACCACAAACCTTTGAGGCAGCTTTCAGTGCACGGCAGCTAGATGGTGGTCACCGCTATTGGATCGGATAGCCGCGGCCTCGTATCCCTTCACGTAGGCCAGGGACGAAATCCGCAGACATCATATGCTGACATCAGGCGGGCATCTCGGCCGTTCTGGAGAGGGCGGGAAGGGTGTGCGGGCTACGCTCATATTTGCGTGGATTGATCGCGTCAAGCACTCTGTGGTAAGGTCAGTCGCCTGGGGCTGATCCCAGCGAGACTCTGCCGGTCTGCGGTTAGCCAACGATAATGTGACACAAAACGACGCCATGCTGCAGCCCCCAAGACTTGCCTTACGTGGCGAATTCGCACATCAGGATGAGTTAACGCCAGACTTGTGCTTGATTCCGCCTCAACGAAATCGACTTCGATTCGGACTTGCAGCGTAAAGGTCGGCTTCCGCTGACCTGCACAGAACATCTTTGAGTTGGCCCCGACTCGAAGAACGTGTCCCAGTTCTGGAATCAACGTTCGCTTCATGGGCACACATCATATCATTTTTACACTTAATTGTTATTGAAATGATATTTATTTTGCCAAAATTGAACTACGTCTTGGTGGGGTCTGTTTGCTGCACATGAGATAGCTTGGCAGGATACAAATATATCCTACATCTCATATCTCTATTTCGGTTGACTCCGCGATAGCTAGGAATACTCAACGAAAGCTGATACAGAAGTTAAAAGAAGTTTGTTTTCCCCGAATTAACGAAAATTGGCCGATTGAGCTCGATTCTGACCCCAGCCGGAGTGAAGCGCAGGTCTGGCCTACAGTCTGGCCTGACGCTATATTCCAGCATTCGTGGCAGGCGCAAACACACAGAAGCAAGCTGAAGTATCCCCAAACAAGCATAAGTATCAGACAAAACACGAAATTGACCGGGGAGGATGCAGCCCCCCCCGCCCCCTCCCAAAGCCGGGCTAGCTATGCGACGGGAACTGGAGGGGGGGGGGACGGCAAGGTCGAAACCAGAGTCGTGATCAGCGCATTAAGAGCAGGACGAGCTTCGCCCCGTGTTTGCAGAGCTGGCTTGCCTTCGGAGCATGACTTTCCCGGACCGGAGGAACAACCTCTCGCAACCTGGCGAACACGCCCCTGCGATGGCCAGCGGACGCCTGCCACACGAGCCGCGGCTCTGAGCATCCGACAATGTTGTGGCCAGCGCGGTCAGGCTGGAGAGATGTCACTGGCTGTCACTTTACGTGACGTCACAGGGTTAGCGGCGTGCGCTCAGCATAGTCGTTGCCGCGCTTATCTGTAAAAACACGTTCAGCCTCGGACTTTGTTTTGTAGGTCCCGATCCAGCTTACGCCAGTGGCTGCCGTATGTTAGTTGATGTTCGCAACATGGGCTCCCCTCACGTGCTATCTAATGACTGAAGCTTTTGTTTCTGTTTGAAAATGTTCCACGGCGCTTCATTGACAAGGATCAAAATCCGGAAATATGATTAGTCTGATGCCACCATAAAGATGTTTGCATAGTTAGCAAACTTGGTGCGATATTTTCGTTCTGTTTCACGACCAGTCTTCGGCGAACAAACTAGGCGCCGCGTCTTGACCTGCTCAGACGACGTCAGCCCCGCTTACCACTGACCTCCACACATGGTGTCCAACCACTGGTAACCCAGCCCTGCTTACTACTGACCTCCACACATGTGCCCCGTCTGTTGCGGGGCGTACACATGGTGTCCAACCACTGGTAACCCAGCCCCGCTTACCACTGACCTCCACACATGTGCCCCGTCTGTTGCGGGGCGTACACATGGTGTCCAACCACTGGTAACCCAGCCCCGCTTACCACTGACCTCCACACATGTGCCCCGTGTGTTGCGGGGCGTACACATGGTGTCCAACCACTGGTAACCCAGCCCTGCTTACTACTGACCTCCACACATGTGCCCCATCTGTTGCGGGGCGTACACATGGTGTCCAACCACTGGTAACCCAGCCCCGCTTACCACTGACCTCCACACATGTGCCCCGTCTGTTGCGGGGCGTACACATGGTGTCCAACCACTGGTAACCCAGCCCCGCTTACCACTGACCTCCACACATGTGCCCCGTCTGTTGCGAGGCGTACACATGGTGTCCAACCACTGGTACACCAGCCCTGCTTACTACTGACCTCCACACATGTGCCCCGTCTGTTGCGGGGCGTACACATGGTGTCCAACCACTGGTAACCCAGCCCTGCTTACTACTGACCTCCACACATGTGCCCCATCTGTTGCGGGGCGTACACATGGTGTCCAACCACTGGTAACCCAGCCCCGCTTACCACTGACCTCCACACATGTGCCCCGTCTGTTGCGGGGCGTACACATGGTGTCCAACTACTGGTAACCCAGCCCTGTTTACCACTGACCTCCACACATGTGCCCCATCTGTTGCGGGGCGTACACATGGTGTCCAACCACTGGTAACCCAGCCCTGTTTACTACTGAATTACACATCTGCGCGCCGTCTGTTGCGGGGCGTACACATGGTGTCCAACTACTGGTACACCAGCCCTGCTTACTACTGACCTACACACCTGCGCACCGTCTGTTACAGGGCGTACACATGGTGTCCAACCACTGGTACACCAGCCCTGCTTACTACTGACCTACACACCTGTGCACCGTCTGTTACAGGGCGTACACATGGTGTCCAACCACTGGTACACCAGCCCTGCTTACTACTGAATTACACACCTGTGCGCCGTCTGTTGCAGGGTGTACACATGGTGTCCAACCACTGGTACACCAGCCCTGCTTACTACTGAATTACAACACCTGTGCGCCGTCTGTTGCAGGGTGTACACATGGTGTCCAACCACTGGTACCCCAGCCCTGCTGACTACTGACCTACACACCTGCGCGCCGTCTGTTGCAGGGCGTACACATGAGGTCCAACCACTGGCATCCCGTACCCGAGCTGCCCCCCCGTCGACGAAGACTACAAGCTGCTGCGAGCTCTCCGCGATGACACGTTGGACCTGCTCCGGCACTCGGAACCGGAGGACCCAGAGGTCAAGCGCCTGAAGAAGCTGCTCGGGCCGCAGAAGACGAAGGCAGAGAGGCTGCGGCTGAGCCGACAGAGACTGATCGAGCGCGTGAGGAAGCTGGCTCCGGGGACGTCTGAGCAGGAGAAGACGGCCGAGAGGGCGTCCTTTTGAAGCTGACCCTAACGCCGTCAATCTGAGAGAAACCAATGCAGCCGCAGAACCCAGTAAGGTAGACCTGGAAAAGAAGCAGGAAGATCAAAACAAAGACGGAGCGGGAGACCTGAAACGGCAGAATCGCCAGGCGTATCAGAAAGTCCCGAGCAGCGAAAGGCGACCGGAGACTCTGAGACCAAACGCTTGGAGAGCTCGGGGGAGCCGAAGAAGACCACAAAGGAGCAGAATGAGCGGCGGAGGATGGTGAAGCGAGTGAAGATTATTTCGAACACGTCTGAGGAGGAACAGTCTGGAGGTGTCGATTCGCTAGACACATCGGGAATTCCTAAACCGCCGAAAACGACCACAGAGGAGCGGAATGGGCGAATGAGGATGGTGAAGCGAGTGAAAATTATTTCAAACACGTCTGAGGAGGAACAGCCTGGAGGGTGTCAATTCGCTAGGCGCATCGGGAATTTCCAAACCGCCGAAAACGACCGCAGCCCCAGATGTCACGCCCTTGAAGAGCTCAGGAAGGCCGAAAGAGACAAAAGGGGGAAAGGAGGGTGGACGGATGAGGATGGTGAAGCGAGTGAAGATTATTTCGAACACGTCTGAGGAGGAACAGTCTGGAGGTGTCAGTTTGCTACGCACATTAGGAGTTCTCAAACCGCCGAAAACGACCACAGAAGAGCAGAATGGACGAATGAGGATGGTGAAGCGAGTTAAGATTATTTCGAACACGTCTGAGGAGGAACAGCCTGGAGGTGCCGGTTCGCTAGACACATCGGGAATTCCAAAACCGCCGAAAACGACCACAGAGGAGCAGAATGGGCGAATGAGGATGGTGAAGCGAGTAAAGATTATTTCAAACACGCCTGAGGAGGAACAGCCTGGAGGTGCCGGTTCGCTAGACACATCGGGAATTCCAAAACCGCCAAAAACGACCACAGAGGAGCAGAATGGGCGAACGAGGATGGTGAAGCGAGTGAAGATTATTTCAAAACACGTCTGAGGAGGAACAACCTGAGGGTGCCGGTTCGCTAGACACAATCGGGAATTCCAAAACCGTCAAAAACGACCACAGAGGAGCAGAATGGGCGAATGAGGATGGTGAAGCGATTGAAGATTATTTCAAACACGTCTGAGGAGGAACAACCTGAAGGTGCCGGTTCGCTAGACACATCGGGAATTCCAAAACCGTCAAAAACGACCGCCGACCCAAAGGTCACACCCTTGGGGAGCTCGGGGAGGCCGAAAGGGACAAAGGAGGGAAAGGAGGGTGGACGGATGAGGATGGTGAAGCGAGTGAAGGTTATTCAGAACGCATCTGAGCAGGTGAAGACGGCCGAGGGTTTGTCTTCTGAAGCCGACTCAAACACCGGCAAGCTACGAGAAGCGACTGGAGCAGAGGAGGTCGGTAAGGTGGGCCTGAGAGCGAAACAGGAAGACCAGACCAGTGACGGGCTGGAGCAGCCTGAGGCTCCTACTTCACCGGACATATCGGGAAGTCCTAAACAGCCGAAAGCAGCCAGTGCGGACATCGACGCCAAGCAGTTACGTCTAGGACTGATTCCTTTCACCATCATCGAAGGTAATGCTCTGGGATGGGCGATGCGATGTCAAGGTCGAATGTCTTCATTAATCAGAATCAGTACGACTGCCTCGGATGGTTCGCAGTTCTGATTGGCTGAGCTTGTCATACTCAAACACAGTGTTGGAACACTTCTTATCATGCCGTGATCGGTACTTAACCTGAATTCCGTTTTCAGGAAACAAGTTAAGACGGACCATCAGGGTACGGTCGGAAGATCATGACATTGTAAAGCGAAGACCGGGCGGGACGCTGGGAACGCGGCGCTGTGAGTGCTGCGCGTACGTAACAGTGAGATAGTGGTACCTAACAGTGAGATATTTGCTGTCCGGGAAAGGGCAAAGAGAAGCAGGCGAGGGTGATGGCAATGCCAGCTCTCATTCCATGACGATTTGCGAATGGAAAATCATTCAGCCGATAAGCACAAGACCTGTATGCAGTGCAGAAAGCGGCGCGATGCACCGAAATAGACCGGTGCGCACGTGCTGTGCAGACCACATTTGTAGCAATTGACATTGGTTTTCCAAAAGGTCCTTTTACCGCGAGTAAAATCAGTCAGCGTTACAATATTAGTGTGAATTCCGTGTCCAGGCGCGCGCTGAGGAACCGCAAGCATGCAGTTTCAGCGGCTTATTCTGAACGCCAAATGCTCTCATGGTGTGAGCAATGCCTTGCGTGTAATTCATAGAAAGCCGGTAACTGCAGTGCAGCTATGAATGTGCTCGTGACACGTAAGCCGCGCTTACATTCACCGGGTTGGCAGCGTGGCTGGCGAGTGGTAAAGTGAGCAGGAGACTGGGAGGAGCGTGTGTAGCCATGACTTGTGGTTATGACTCCATCAGTGGTAGACCAATACATGCATCATTAGCTGACCCGCAACAAACACGTTACGTTCAGGTCCTAGTTCAACGGGCCTTTTATAAGCATAATGATCAAAATGCATGATTCGCATACTGTTCGGTGGGCCGTCGGTACTTCAGCATAATCCTTTAGTTACCACCAAAATACATTCGCTGTTTTCAAAACCCGACAACATGCAACCCGACAGTCCGGCCGCAATACCAAAACTACAGTACACCAAGTATCACGATTCGTGAGAACCACGCCCGTCGTCCCTAATGTGAAGCGAGAGGCGACACACAAAATACGTCGCTTCAACCGGACTCTTGTGTACGGGTGCTCGCGTAGTACATCTACCGCCAGCAGCAGCAGTGCTTACGGTATTCTCAGTCCCACGTGCACCAACCTAGGCATCACCTGAGCAAGCGCGCGCGCCGCGAACAGGGCGCTTTCACGCGGCGCGCGGCGTCCGCGAGCCCCGCGAGTACCTCGCTCCTCCACCACAGAGGTGGGCGAGACGCCGGCCGGACGGGCCTCCGCGCCTGGAGGTCAGCGCTCGGTCCCCTGGTCTGTCCTCGGCCAGGCCGCCGACACAGCAGCGCGGCACATCACAAGCCGGCGGACACCGGGGAACACGACTCCACTGGCCGCGGGGGGCCAGCGCCAACGAGCGTGTGAGCCGAGTACGGCAGCGTGGCCAGACGGCATCACCAGCCGAACACGACGGCGTGGCCAGACAGCATCACACGCCGGGCACGACGGCGTGGCCAGACGGCATCACAGGCCAAACACGACGGCGTGGCCAGACGGCATCACCAGCCGAGCACGACGGCGTGGCCAGACGGCATCACACACCGAACACGACGGCGTGGCCAAACGGCATCACAAGCCAAACACGACGGCGTAGCCAACGGCATCACACGCCGTAACAACGACGGCGTGGCCAGACGGCATCACAATACCGTGAGCAAGACGAGGGGACAAGGAAAACGGCACTGAAGGCGCCGTTAGGAAGGCGGCGGGCGGCGTATGCATAGAATCTGCTGAGCGGCGGCGTTTATTGTCGATTAAAAAGGTCTAATCTAGGACAATTCTCTCGGTTGCAGTAATCTCTCATCAGCGCCGACCAGGACCACGACCATCGAAAGGACGCACACACGTAAACACGCACACAGGCGCACACCGCGCTGGACAGGCCAGGCAGGGGGCACACGTTCACCACCGTAAGCAAGGAGAGACAGCGCTGGGACAGGACGCAGCAGTGCGGTAAGAAACGTACGCCATGGTTACAGGAGACCGGCACAATTTGATCTGATTTGGCGCGATCGGTCAGGCCGCAGTGTTAAAACCACTCATTCGCTCGCGGCTGAGTAATCACGACGAAGGAAGCACAAGCTAACGGGGGTGAGCGTGGCAGTCACGCGCAGACTAAAACGATGGTTCCAAACCACTATTTACAGAGTCACCAAGGCCCTTTTCACCAAGAGGCGACGAGGCCGCGAAGCATCGATTCTCAACAGCTAAATTTGTACCGACATATCTCAGCCCGCGGTCTTCACGCTACCTTCGCTGATCCGCCGCTCCACGTGCTCCACTGGTGCTACCTCGGCCACCGGCGGCCACGGCCGCAACACGCACGGCATCGCGCCCGCACAATCTCCTGAAGACTACACCGGTCACCGGCGGCCACGGCCGCAACACGCACGGCATCGCGCCGCACAATCTCCTGAAGATTACCACCGGTCGCCGGCGGCCACGGCCCCGCGCCGCACAATCTCCTGAAGACTACACCGGTCACCGGCGGCCACGGCCGCAACGCGCACGGCATCGCGCCGCATAATCTGCTGAAGACTACACCGATCACCGGCGCGTCCACCCCCTCAACACGCACGGAGGTGCGCAGGGACGGCGGCGATCAGACGGTTCCTGGCGCCACGGGCGGCCCGGTCGGGCGAGGCGCGCCGCCCCACCGGCCCGCGGAGCAGCCTTCCCGCCCGCGCGGCGGCGGGCGGTCCCTTCAAAGCGAGGCGCCCCGCTCGGCGCTCGCGGAGGTGCAGCGAGGCGTTCCGCTCAGCGCTCGCGGAAGGCGCAGCGAGAGCGTGCTCAGACACTCGCCAAGTTCGCGGCTGGCGAGCGCCTGCTGCAGGAAGCGGCGCCGCCAGGCGGCCAGGTCCGGCAGAGTCGCGCACGACGGGATGTTCAGGAAACGTGTCGAAGAACTCCGACCACAGGCTGCCGCACCAGTACCTGCGGCCGACGCAGCGCTCGATCAGGCCCGCCCTCTATCGGCACGTGGGCGTCACGAACGGTGTTTCACTGCCGACCGCCCAGACGGCGGGAGCGAGAACATGGCACGGCACCGATCGGCCGCACGTTCAGCGTAAGCGCGTGCGCCGGCGGAGCCCGGTCGACGTACCGTCTGATGGTGCCAGTGAAGGTCCAGCGCGCGGGCTCTGCCGCGCTGCGCACCATGCTTCAGTAGCTGCCGAACAGCAGCAACGTAGGCGGAGGCGGGCCGCACCGTACAGGTCCGTCTGGTACGTCCACGGCCGGCCGTCCAGCATCTCCGGGCACGTGAACCCGGTCCGTCGTCACCACGCGCGGTGAAGGTCGTGCCTGCCGACAGCAGGCGGCGTCGTCAGGCGCCGCGCACACGAAGGCGCTCAGAGCGGGGCCGCACCGCCGGCCCCGACCTCGGCCGGCACCGGGCAGAGGCGGCGGCCGAACCACTTGGCCGTGGTCCCGAGGTCCCACGGCCTCGGGACCAAACACTTGCGACAGGTGCAACAGGAGCTGCAAGAGCTGATACAGATGCACAGTGAAAACATCATGATCCACAGTGTAAAACTCTACCTGATCCGCTGCACACATGCAAACAGGCACCTGGGAAGACAGACACTCGAACTGCAAATTCCGCCCAGCACGTCGATGCCATTAGCAGAGAGCGCGGCGGCGCCGCGGCATCGCCATCCACAGGGCCCACCCCATCGTCCCGCCCCGGGAGATTCCCTAGTGCGCAGCCGGCTCACCAGGTGGCAGCAGGGTGGTGTCGATTGCGCGGCCGAAGTCGATGAGCTGTGCAGCAGCTGCGGCCGGCCCGCCGCCGCGGTCAGGTCGGCCAGCAGCTCCTGTCGCCGGTCCAGCGCACTGCGATCAACCGCAGGTCACACCCGGCGTCAGGAGGGACGGGGCTGGTACAGGTCACCGGCTGGGACGGCGGCGGGGGCAGGTGAGGAAAGGGTAGCGCAGTTGCTCTCTGCCGGCGCGACACAGACCAGCAGACGGCAGGGAACCAGAGACAGTCGTCGGAGTATCAGCAGCAGTGACGTAACACCATGACGTCACCGACCGGCGGCCGCCGGTGGTCTGCTCACCGGGCGCGCAGCAGGAAGTTGTCGGGCTTGACGTCACCGTGAATGACGCCGACGGCGTGGACGGCCTCCAGCGCGCCCAGCATCTCGGCCGTCAGCAGCATGACCAGCGACTCGATCGACTTGCCCGGCTGCCGGCAGCGGCGGCAGGTCACGAGAGTATACACTGCCGGCCAGGAGACGGCTCGCATCGCCCCGGACCGAGGGCGTATCTCACGCAAGAATAGAGCGAAGTCCGCAGTCGACAACGGGGAGGGCAACCCACAAATCGAGAGCCACTGATAGTAGATTTCCACTAAGACAGTAGAGTGGGGAAGCCAGCTCTTGTGCACGGCATGACCTGGGTCTGTATGTGTGCAGGGCGTGGTCTGCACGGGCCATAACTTTACACCAACCACCCGTGTAGACTATTTGCCCAAAAGCTTGTCTTTGAACCACGCACAGAAAACACCACACCGCAGACAAACCAAACAGTCCAGGATGAGTCTGTCCAACTGTGAAGCAGCGAGGCCAAATTTCGGGCAGCGGCTAACGTGGCGGCCTATCGCGCCAATTCTCACACCATACTGCTGGCATGCGGCATGACGCGTGGGTCGAAACACTCAAGCTCGCAACATCGACGGCGTGCGCGTGCGGTGCGAGCCCCTGTTGTGGCGGACCGCGAGGCGCATCACGTTTGGCTCCACTCTCAGCCTAAACACTCTTCTGATCACCGGAACTCAGACACTTCAACATGACCAGTGCACCAAAGCTGAGGCAAACGGAAGGAACGCTACACCAACAGCACGGCTGCAGCGTTGCTTGTCTGGACCGGGCTGCGCTGCCGGCCGGTCCGCCGTCGTCGCTGCTGCTCACGTTGTGCCGCAGCTTGTTGAGCACGTCCAGAAGAGACCCAGCCGGCTCGTACTCGGTGCTGAGGATGCTGCCGTTGTCGAACACGCTCACCCGCTCCACCGGCATCACGAACTCAAGCTGCCGGCCCGAGCCAAGGACGTCACGCATGGTCTGACGGAGGGGGGGGGGGGGGGTCGAACGCGGCCTGATGGCCGCCAGTCCCTGGCGGAGACGCCAGGGACTGGCGGCCAGGGGAAGGCGACAGACACTGACAGGCGGAGACGCCAGGGAGTGGTGGACAGGGCAGACACCGCAGACTGTTGGTCAGACGGAAACGTCAGAGGTTGTCAGACGGAGACATCAGGGAGTGACAGGCGGAGAAATCAGGAGCTGTGAGGGAAGGCCCGTCAGGGACCGCCCAGCAGACGGAGGTATGAGATGCCGCCCGCCGGGGGGCACACGTCGGGGTCCGGCCAAGGGATACACCAGACACGTCAGACAGGGGCGGGGGAGGGGTCAGGGACTATTCGCTAGAATAAGGCGTCTGCAGACAGCAAGACACACTCTCGGCCACCAGACTGTCTGGAAGAAGCAAACATCACTCTTTCCAACACCGTGACACACCGGAACGGCACGACAGCCAAATGCGACCAACAGACGAAGAGCAAATCAAAGCCACTTGTGAGCGCGACCAGCCAGCCGGGCGGCTTTGCCGTGTCCTGGTCGCAGCTCTGCCGGCATGCACCGGTCACTGTCAGCTTCAGCATTTACAAGTACTGATAGTCACGCCGCCGACACGGCCGCGGGAGCCCACGGCCGAGTCGGGATCACTGACCTGGCCGGCGCCGGCGCGGCTCGCCAGCCGGCGGTGCACCTCGTCCACGACGTAGAACTCCCACTCGCCGCCGGCCGGCTGCACCTTGAGGCAGAGGGCGCGGCCGGTGTCGCGCTCCAGCGCGTGGTAGACACGCGCGTACGCGCCCTCCCCGATCAGAGTCAGCGCCAGCCGGCGGCCGCCTGGCGGGCGAGGGCGGCGTCAGCCGGCGGCGGCGGTGCGGCCCGCCTCCCAGCCCTCCGGCACGCACGGCAGCGCTCCCAGCGAGCAGCGGCGCTGGCGCTGGCGCTGGTGCTGCCCGCCTCTCACGCGTCTGCACGCCGCGCTATACAACAGGCTACACAGGGGACGCAGTGCGAGACTGCCAGCTGCATGACCCGGCGAGCACAATGAACGGCAGGGAAAAAGCTCCAGCTATACTATCCCGTGCAGAGCCCGACAGCGACGACTTTGGTACAGCCCGGCTCCACGCCACTGCGTCTGCCGGTGCGAGGCTCCAACTAGCCACGCTTGGTTACAGAACTAATAACTGCGCAGTTATTCCTCGGAGTACGTCACTACTGCCGTCACTGGCGTTGTCAGAGCCTAACAGAAGCACGCGGCACGAGCCGCGTGCATACGCCTTTTGTACCACAGGGCCTTCGATCCCAAAGCGGCCGCCTCTCAGCAGTGTGCCACTTTCCAGCAGGCACGACAGAGCGCGAGCCACGTTCCGGGCCAGACGTAAGCCACAAGCTTATTGCAAGGTCATAAATCAGCCCTGTCGTACCCCGGCCCGCCCGCTCGCCGGCCGGCCACCGTCAGCCGCTCACCGTACTCGATCTCCTTCAGCGCGCAGTTGGGCAGCTTGCCGCGGAGCCGTTCGTACCGCTGGCGCTGGTGGACGGGGACCGCCAGCTGGCTCAGCAGGGCCGCGATCAGCCGCTCGTCCCAGGGGTCCGGGTGGGCGGGCGACTCGTCCAGCGTCAGCGCCGAGAGCGCGGCCGCCGGCTCCTCCGCCGGCGGCTCCAGCTCGCCCACGTCAGCGGGGCGGTGGCGCCGCGCGCGCGCCGGTCACCGGCCGCTCGGCGCTGATCTCAGCTGCTGGCGGGTCGACAAGCGCTGAGGTCGGCTGGCGGCTTCACGGCGCTGAGGTCGGCCGGCGCCTGCAGCGGGCTGAGCTCGGCGGGCGGGGGCAGCGCCGCGCTGAGGTCCGCCAGCGGCACCAGACTCAGCTCGGCCGGCGGCGGCGGGGCCGTGCTGAGCTCGGCCGGCGGCAGTAGGCTGACGTCGGCCGGCGGCACCGTGCTGAGGTCGGCCGGCGGCGCCATGCTGATGTCTGGCGCCTGTACGTCGCTGATATCGGCCGGGTCGGGCCGGCGCGCCATGCTGTCGACCGCCGGCCGGCCGGCCAGCGCCGAACCAGACCCATCGGCCAGGTAGCCAGAGCTCTGCGTGAGGTGGGGCGCCGGCCAGCGCGACACAACAGAGCGCTGCGAGCAGGACCGGGCGCCGTCCGACGGCCGCTGCTGCCACGGCTGCGCAGCCGCCTGCAACAGACGGCCGGCCCGGTCATAGGGGGCGCGGTGCTACCCGGCGGTACCCGGCCGGCAGAGGGGACACGGCGGTACCCTGGACAGAGGGGACGCGGCGGTACCCTGCGGTCAGAGGGAACGCGACGGTACCCAGCGGTCAGAGGGAACGCGGCGGTACCCAGCGGTCAGAGGGAACGCAGCGGTACCCAGCGGTCAGAGGGAACGCAGCGGTACCCAGGGGTCAGAGGGAACGCAGCGGTACCCAGCGGTCAGAGGGAACGCGACGGTACCCAGCGGTCGGAGGGAACGCAGCGGTACCCAGCGGTCAGAGGGAACGCAGCGGTACCCAGCGGTCAGAGGGAACGCAGCGGTACCCAGCGGTCAGAGGGAACGCAGCAGTACCCAGCGGTCAGAGGGAACGCGGCGGTACCCAGCGGTCAGAGGGGACGCAGCGGTACCCGGTACACCCAGCCGGCAGGTTAGCACGATCCACACTTGTCGATGGCACAGCCAGCGTTGACAGCGGACGTCCGAAGTCCTCGACAGACGGCTGTATCGCGGAAGTCACAATTCAGACAACCAGGCGCCTCCTGGCACACCAGGCTGCATCGGCGACCGCCCTGCGTCACGCGGACCCATCTGCGAGGGGCCGTGCGCAACCCGGCGCCAGGCCGGCCGGCCGGCCACACTCACCGGCGCCGAGAGGTCGCAGCGCGACTGGCGGGACATGTCAGAGCCGCTGCTGCTGCTGGACGACTTGAAGCGCTCGCCTGCCGGACCGCGTCAGCTTCAGGTCAGGGGACGTGTCGCTGGACCGGCCGGCCGGCGTGCCGCGGTGTGAGGTCGCACCGCCGGCCGCCTCGTCACCCAGGTCACATCACAACACCGGTCAAGCCCCAGCACTGCCGCATGACCACGCCCAAACAGGGCGTCACCGTCCGCTCCGGTGACGAGCCCGAGTCCGGTCCGGCCCGGCCCCACCCCGGAGCCCACCGCGGCCCCGGCCCCCACTCACGCGAGTGCTCCTGGATGGGCGTGAGCACGGCGCCGTCCTCGGTCGGGCTGCTCCTGCTGACGGCCTGGCGGCCCAGCCGCACGCTGCCGACAGCGGAGCGTGTCAGCACGGGCGGCACGCGCCACGCTGCGCACCGACGGGCGGACGCAGGCGTCGCACCGGTGGCAGCGCTCAGTGCGGCAACTTCCGCGCCGCCCTGCCGCCGTGCCAGCTCCTCCCGTTCACCCACCCGGCATTGGTGGGCTCGCCGCTCCTTAAGCTCAGTGAGTGGCAGAGCGTCGAACGTTCTGACTAATGTGAGCGAGATCTCGGGCCGCATTCTCCCAAACGCCGCCAACACTACCTTGGCACAGTTCGCAAGTGGCCAAAAGGCACGTTGAAGAGGGCTTCCATTGACACTTTATTATTGTTACGCGACACTTTAACGTCTTGGAGCAAAAGTGGTTCGCTGAATTGAGTTGCTCTGCTGCGGAGGTTGGCTGGGATACGCGTAGGGAAACTATGTTCAGAGAAAGCACTAATCCCAGGCCAGCCCTACAAATAGTTCGGCCAAGTTCCTAGATAAAACTATCTCATCTCTACACCAACGTGGCAACATCGGATGCCACACGACCACAGTTACGTTCATTCCATCTCGCCAGCCTGGTGAAGCTGCTGATCACCACTGACCAAGCACAGCACACGTGCCCATCACAGCAAACAGCTCCGCCAGCCAGCCGCGCACCAACACGGCTCCACCCCTCTCCGTTGTCCTCACTTCTTCAGACTGGCCGTGAAGTCGCCACCATCCTCCTGGTCACGCCGCGGGCGCGCCGACCCGGCCGACGCCGGCGGCGGCGGCGGCAGCGGCGGCACCATGGGCGTGGACGCCACGCGGCCGGCAGCCGTGGCGAACTGCTCCAGGTCGCCCACCGCGAAGGACACCTCGTCAGAGAGCGGCACGAAGCCGGTCAGCTCGTCGTCGAACTGAAGGCGGGCGCGGGCGGCCGGCGCCTCCGCCTCCGGGGGCAGCGGCACGTCGACCGCGTCCACCAGACAGCCGGGCGGGTGGCGGCGCGGCGGCGGGGGCGCGCAGCCGGCCGGCGGCCTGTTCTCCTGGTCAGAGTCGTGGTCGTCGACGGCGGCCACGGCGCCACACTCGGTCGGATCCTCGCACACGACGAACGGCGCTGGCGGCGGCGGGGACTGGCTCGCCGGGTCCGGCTCCTCGTACACGGTGAACGGCACGGCGGCGGCGGCGGCGGCGGCGCGACCCACTGCCGGAGACGGCGCCAACTCAGCTGACCGAGTCCGCGCCGCGGCCACAACGGCAGCGGGACGCTAAACACCGTACAAAACTGGATGCAGGGTTCTGAAATCTGCGAAATGCGATGGGGAGGGGGAGGGGATTTTCGCATGCAGGCAGTTGATTGGCTATTTGCTTACAGCTGTCCGGGCATCTCAGACACCCTTGCATTGAAGCCATCCATTGAGTAAATCCTGACTGGTGTCAGCAGCGTGTGTGCATTTATCACAATGACACACACATAAGGAAAATATCGCATTAACAGCATGCAGATCCACACACATGAGAAACCACCAGTAACGTCGTTCGGGGAGAAAACGCCGCGCCAAGCCTTGACGGGGCAACGTCCACTACGGCCAGAGCCGGGCTGGCCACCCAGCACCAGCCCCCACCGAGCAACCACAGCGCTGCCCCGCAGCCGGCGAGCCGGCACCGGCGGTGGCCAGACACTCACGGCTGCCGGACGGCCGCGGCGCCGGCAGCGACGTATCCACCGTCCTGTTGAGCATCTCGCGCACGCAGTTGATGGCCTCGCGCGTGTTGACGGTCGGCGAGGCGGCCACCGCCGAGCTGGAGAGGCTGTGACTGTTGTGACCTGGAACGGCGTCAGCCGAGCGAGGTCAGGTACAATCCCGGCCCGGACGGAACCAGCCATAGCAAACACAGTCGGATGGCCGCATCTCACTCACCCACCGCCCACCAAAAGACGCCGGTTGAGCCCGGCAAGTGCCCCGCATCGGGCGGCGCCAATCGCAGCCAGGCACCCCTGGCGCCGTCCGCCTGCCGCCCGCCCGGCCGCCGGGCACGAGCGAGGACCCCCGCCTCCGGACCGAGGGCAGCACAACACACGGCCCACATGGCCGCCGGGCACGAGCGAGAACCCCCGCCTCCGGACCGAGGCCAGCACAACACACGGCCCGGCCACAACACACGGCGCGCGCCACGCACCGGGCAGGCTGGACGAGCCGGCGCTGACGTTGGACGAGCCGAGGTGCGCGGACGAGCTCAGCGAGCCCTGCTGCGGCGCCGTCGGCAGGCGCGCCTTCAGCTCCAGCAGCTGCCGCTCCAGCTGCTCGTTTTTGAGCAGCACCTCTTCGTTTCTTCTGAGCACCTCCTCGTTCCTGCGCGCCATCTCCTGGAAGCTGCGCTGAATCTCCTCGGCTACCAGGCGCTGCTCCAGCACTGCAGCAGGCGCGGCAGTGGAGTGGTGTCAGGCGCGGCAAGGGAGTGACGTCAGGCGTCGCGGGAGTGGCCCCAGGCGCTGCGGGAGTGGCGTCAAGCGCTGCGGGAGTGGCGTCATGCCCTGCGGGAGTGGCGTCAAGCGCTGCGGGAGTGGCGTCAAGCACCGCGGGAGTGGCGTCAGGCGCTGCGGGAGTGGCCTCAGGCGCCGCGGCAGCCTCGGTGCCGACGCCTCAGAACGCAGCCAGCGTGGAGGCAGGCAGGCCGGCAGTATGCCCAGGTGTTGGCGACACAACAAAGCACGGTGTGCTCCACGACTAGCGGAAGAAATCAAACCAAACCACATTATGCAGCGCAGACTGCACAGCAAACCCGGTGACCAAAATCAGTAGCAAAGGAGAATACTGACGCAATTTGTTCTCCTTCTTCCATCTTGCGGCTCTGAGCTCTTCAAATGACACCTCCCCTGCGCCAGCGTAGATCTGGCGATGAGCAAAATAAGGCATCAGAGAGCAGTTGAGTCACTGACTGGGAGAGGGGGGGGGGGGGGGAGGAAGACAACAGCTGGAAGGTCTCTTTGGCCGGCGACCGGGAGGACCGCTTGGCTTTTACGGAGCACAGGGAGCACTGAGATACTCACTTTCAACAGAGAGCCACCGGCGCAACGCATCGCAAAGCGTGTCACGCAATCTCCAACCCACGCGAACACGATGTAAATCCAGCCCACAACGAACAAACAAAGCTACGACCACAGCACGACCCGACACCGCCAGCCGCGTCCAATCGCCCCGGTCCGACGCCTGACCGCCAGCGGCGCCGCTGAGCCAGCTCTCCGGCGGCGCTCACCACGTCCTTGCAGTACATGGCCTTGACGGCGTCGTTGGGCGGCTCGAAGACGGCGACGCGCGGGTTCCAGTCGGCGTCGGCGCGCGGCGGCGGCGGGGCGCGCGCCGCCAGCGCGCCAGGGTTGGCCGTGATCGGGCTGCCGCGCGCCGCGCCCGCCTCCTCGTACACTGGCGGAGAGGGCGGGGCGGTGCTGAGGCGGCAGACACTCGGGGCGATGGGGACGTGCGACACTCAGGAGGTGGGGACACGCGACGCTCGGGCGGTGGAGACGTGCGACACTCGGGCGATGGGGACGCGCGACACTCGGGCGGTGGGGGGGGGGGGGGGGAGAAGCGTGCGACACACGGGCGGTGGGGGCGCGCGACACTCAGGAGGTGGGGACACGCGACACTCGGGCGGTAGGGGCGCGCGACACCCAGACGGTGGGGCGCGCGACACTCAGGCGGTGGGGGGGGGGGGAGGGGGAGCGTACGACACTCGGGCGGTGGGGGGCGCACGACACTCGGGCGGTAGGGGGAGTAGCGTGCAACACTCGGACGGTGGGGACGCCCACTGTCTGCCACTGAGAGGGTGTCAATGGAGCCAGGGGTCGTGAGAAGCGGGTGCTGTAATTAGACCTGATTCTATGTCAACTGCTTAGATTAACCTATCCTCAAGACTGAAGAACGGGAAAGGACATCAGGAGCAAATACTATCCCGCAGACTCACGGTCAGGGCATCACGTTTGGTGAGGTCTGCACGGCACCACAGACCGATGGGTATTCAACTGTCGTGATTGACGTTCGGGACGCTACGCTATGGAGTCGCCTACCTGTCACCCGCGCGGGAAGGGCGGGCACCGCGGGTAATGAAACTCCATACACCTAGTTAGCAGCATGTGCAGTCTACTACCGGGATCCCAGATGCCTTAACAACCACCAATTCACTTTTGGGAACTACCTGTGTTGACGTACAACTGCGGGCAACGGCGACAAACACGAGCAGGCAGGCACAAACGTATGGATCGACACGTTTGCATGGATATGACGTGAGTCACCGAGCCCCAGCACCCACTTGCGTCATTCTGGTTCGCAGCCGACGTTCTTCCCACCGGGACACCCGAACCGAGCGGTGACCTACCTCTGAAAGCGGGCGCTGCCGGCGGGGGCGGCGGCGGCGCGCGCTTCGTGGCCGCCGGCGGCGCTCCCCACGGCCCCGCCTTGCGCACGTTCTCCTTGTGCACGGCGCGCGCGGTCGGCAGCGGCGCGGCGCCGACGCCAGCGCCCGTGGGCGCGGTCGGCGCCGCGTTCTCGTCCACGTACACGTGCAGGCGATGGTTGGCGGCGGGCGGCGGCGCGGCGCAGGGCAAGCCGCCGGGCCGGCCTGCTAGCGCGGCGCCCACGCGCTGGCGCGGCACCTCGCCGTCGGCGCCCTCTGCCGGCAGACGCGCGAGCAGGCTACAGCGGCCCGGTCCGGCCACAGGTCTGAGCCCGGCGGCCGGTCTGCTCGCCGAGCTCACATACGCAGCTAATCCAGGCATGGCACGCAAGAGAGCTCGACTGAGACGACGTAAACAGGCATGCGGGAGCCTGTTGTGACCAACGACAAATAATGCGTCTTTGAATGTACACAAAACACTATGGTGAAGATCGCAGTTTTCGAGCGCTACTGTGATCACTGCCCAGAAAGTCCAACAAAAACAAAAACACTATCTCTTCTCAGAGTACGAAGAAAAAACAATACGCGAGGTAAAACGAAAAGTGACGAAGCGGCGATCACATACAGGTACGCATATTAACCGCCTCATAACACTACCTAAGAAAAGATTATATAAAAGGTATCAACATCGGTCAGCAGGCAGCGCGCGCGGTGAGTCAGCCCCCTCCCCATTCCCTGCCGTCCCCTCCCGGTGACCGACCTTTAAGCAGTCCCAGCGCCTGCCGCTCGTCGCCAGCGCTGGTCCGCGCGCGCGGCGGCGTGCTCAGCGTACCAGCGGCCAGCGCGCTGGCCACGCGCGTCTGCAGCTTGCGGCGCGCCTCGGCCAGCGCGTCGGCCGGCTGGGCGCCACATCGCTCACCCTCGGCCAGCACCTTGTCCGCGGCGCGCACGTTGCCTGCGGGCGCGGGGAGGGCGAGGTCGGGTCGGGCTGGGCTGGCGCGGGCCGGCGCCGGGGGGTCCGGTCACCCAACGCCCCCCCCCCCCCTCCGGAGCACGCGCACCGGCAGCCCGGGAAGCAGGCTTTGTACAGCGACAGCGGCCCGTGCGCAAGAGCGGCCGCACTTCCAAAGGATACCAGGCGAGACATACCAAACAGTGATCAGATCGCGGCGTGCGTAGCCGGAACGTTCCCATGACACGTCCCATCATCCCCATACGCCGAGAAACGACGGCACGGTTCGCCAGCATGAAGCCGGCAGCGGGAGCCGGAGCCGCGGGGCCCTCGGCGCGGCACCGGTCCGGCCGGACGCCGCCGACACCCACCGCCGAGCTCGTACTGCGCCGCCCAGGCCGTGTAGAAGGCCGTCAGCGAGGTGCCGATGCTGCGCTGGAACATGCACTGGAAGATCTCCTGCGTCTTCTGCGAGCTGCACGCCTGGCGAGACGCGGGGGGCGGGGACGGTGCGGGACCGGGTCAGCCGCGCGCGCGCGCGCGCCCCGGCAACGGCACAAGGCCCGGCGCGTGCGGCCCTGCCGTCGCGCGGTCACCACAGACACGGACGCCGGTGCAAGGCCCGAGCGTCGCCGCTCCAACGGAACACGCCAAATGGCCACAGCAAAGCGTCAGTCGGGGAGGCACGCAAGTATCGCAGCTGTAGTGTAATCCTCCGCGCTGCGCTAGGTGTGTGCCCCAGCAGCCCGGCACGTCGTCCAAAAAATTTAATCGGAATACCTGCTGCCACTGCCCTGTGCATAGCGTGGTTCTGCCAAATATCACGTTCTTGCCTTAGCTGGTCACCAAGGCCGCCAAACATGCCACTCGCCCCCACCCCACCCCCAATAAACAACACCAAAGCCAACCCCTCCCAAATCATCCAAGCCACCGCACACAGCACACCCCCGTCTCAGGCACGACACCGGCGGTCAGCAGCCAGCCGGCCGGCCGCCGTCGCCGTCGCCGCCGGGCACTCACCAGCCGTATCCAGAGCGAGACGTAGCGCGGGTCCTGGTGGTAGCGGCGCTCCTCGTGGAACTTGGTGATGCACTGCTCCAGCAGGCCGTCCAGGTTGCCCTCGTGGCCGCCGCGCGGACAGTGCTGCTCCATCCAGAGCACGTACTGGTACCAGGGCGCCAGCGGGTCGTCCCCGCTGTACGTGCGGATCTCCAGCTCGAACGCCCTGCCGGCCGGCGGCGCCGTCAGCACAGCGGACCGGCCACCAGGTGTGCCACAACACGGCTCAGCGGCGCGCCCCGTACGCCCGTCATAAAGCCATGTATATCTACCTATCTTGGCTACACTTTTGAACAGCAAATAAGTATTCCAGAACACACATAACACAATCCTATCTCGACTCGTGTTGAGGCCATCAGGGACGATGCGTTACAGCAACGGCACCTGGTAACGATACTCGCATCGCTCGGTGAGGCGTACAATCCTCCTGTCGGCAGCGGCTCTGACGAGTGGCGACGCCACCGGTCAGCGCAGCCGACGCCGCTCACCTGCGCTGCTCGGCCACCTTCTGCGCCGTCTGCTCGTCGCCGGCGGTCTGCAGCGACGAGTTGAGCGCGGCCACGCGGCGGCCCTGGCGCAGCGGCTGCACGTTCTCCTTACTCAGCTCCCAGTCGGAGCCCTCCTGGCCGGCCCACATGACGGCGGGCCTGTCGGCGGCGAGGAGCCGTCAGAAGCCGAGCCGCGGCCAGCCGCACACACTCAACACACATCAGTGCACTGTCTAATGGTGTATGCTTGTGTTGATACAGGCACACATTTAAGCTCTGGAGATATAAAGCAAAGGAAATTCACATTGAGTGCAACTTGTGCAATTGAAATGAACTGTCATTTAGCATGGACAAATGAATGAATCAATTATTTGGGGAAGGTTTAGTCAGAGTATTTCCTTAGCACAGGACAGCATATGGCTAAGGTTCTGTCTTAATCCAGAAAACACAATGTCCCTTTGGGGAGGGAGGGGGCTCAAACAAATGCTGATAGATAGGGGGTGACAACCAAGACAGGCAAGCAACAATCTCCAGAACAGCCCTGTGCATGCAGTACATCCAGGATAAAGCTCACTGAAAGTTGAGTAATCCTAATAAAAACACTTCAAATATCAGCACAGCCACAGTACCATGTAAACAATGCAGCCCTATCACTAGCACATGACAATCACATCATCAGCTTTACAAAAAGCACAACCAGAACATGCCATTGCATGACCTCTTGCATGTTTTTTAGTATCAAGTACTCTAAATGCCCTTAATCAACAAGGAAAATTGCTATGCCTCTCAATTCCATGACTTCATTTTATACTTCTTAGGTGCAAACCCCAAAGCTCTTGGCACATAATTTGAGTCTGTTTAACCTGTCATTTGGTAGGAGGTGATGTCATCCAATGCAACAAGTAAACCCCTTAAAACACAATACAAAGTAAAAATAAAGCATGCTAGATGCACATAGACATCATTCTTGTGCATATGGTGAAACCTCTTTTTATGATTTGAGCACACTCAAAAACATAACTGCAGCAATTCCCGGCTTTGCAAGTCATGATTTGTTATGCAACTTCAGAAACAGCAGAGCTGCGCTCTGAGCAGATCAAGCCTGATCACAATTCTTGATGCAGCTTGAGGAACCTTCTCAAGCTAGAAACATAGAGCTTTGCATTGCGAACAACCTGCTACCTGACCTCTAACTCTGGTTGCTCGCACTTCAGATATAGACAGCATGAGAGTACAAACTGCCAGGTTCACTCTAGTATGTCATCAAGTGGGATAGTCTGTACCAAAAATAATATTCTGCAGCAGATGCATGAAACATCAATGCATTGAATGACACCAGATCATGTGTGCTGAATTTACACATTTTTGGAAAAATCATGCTTTCAGAGTACATCTAAAAAACTACCTTAGCAACATCATAATTCAGTGAAATAAAATATGCACATAGCCATCATTCATTCATTCTCTCTAAGCTGACATGGGTGGCAACAATGTACAACACTCTGAGCACTTGGATTTACATCATAAATGGACAAAACTCATTGCCCCTGAGCTGGACATGTTTGGCAAACATGTGTATTTGCAGACTGGCACATAAACATGCAAGCGTGCCATCAAAACCCAACATGCAAAGAAGCAATGGGGAAGACAAAATAAAATAAAAAAGGCACACATAATGGTAACTTGAGGAGGCCAGACAAGCCAAGTACAGTAATGCAGGCCAGAAACAATGCTTTGTTTTTGTTTCAAGGGTTTACAGATGCACTGACTGCAGCAGTCATTTGGCACCCACAGAAGCAATACCTCTGGAGTGAGAGCAAGCAAATCAAATCCAGAAGTGGTTGGCAATCACATATGAAATATTAAACTAGTTCAAACCCAGCCTGAGGTCACACTGGGAACGACTCAGAAAGGGCACTGTAGCCAAGGCTAGCGCAATTTAATTTATCGGGATCTCGATAGGAGCTCAAACAGCCTGGTGGCATTCTAAATCGCGCGCTGGGTAAAGTGGAGGGCGGATTGAATGATTCATGATCGGGCAACAGGAAATATATCTCTAGGAAACCTAACGGAAATGAATTACCTTAAAATCACTTATTAAAACAAAAACTACCACACCCTTCCAGAAACGTCCCCGCTGCACAGCAAATAAACGACGCCCAAACACTTCCACGATGCTCTTGTAGAAGTACACGTTTAAATTAGAGAAGGATTCGTGTCCTTTTCTTGCCTGGGTACCCGACAATTTTCCAAGCCGTTATATACGAATTTCAGGCCAAATTCATCAGTCATAGGTATTAACCACGAATACAAAGCTAAATACGTATCTGTCTTTAATTTTTCCTAGTTTTATAAACTTCAGATACGAAAATACACGAATCAATTATGCTGTCTACGTGGGTTTGCTATCATCGGCTTCATGGCAATGACTTAGAGCGATAAACTATCAATATTTATGAATGTTTAGCATGTATTTTTAGCTTTGCAATTCTGCAGGCTAAAAGGACAGTCGTAGCGTAGATCACGTATTTATACTTCCCGGACGTTTTGCAGAGGCGTTCCATCTCTTTATGTTTGAAACAGTTTGGTCCAAAACATGGCGGATGCGACGTATACCGTCGGCGACCCTGTATGGTGAGTTGCACTTCCACTTAAGTTTTCCGATCATCTTAAGTATTTGCCACTATGCTTTTATAATTTTTAGCTCCACAGCGCTCAGTTTGCAGTGTGTTTCTTCCTGTATTTGTAGTAATATGTCCGTGGGGACAAATATGGCGCTATTGCTTCTTTGCATTGCTGTATTATTTTGTGATGCTTATGGGTAAATGGAGCCTGTTGGAAGAATGTTCAGCTAAAGCCACGGTTCATATAGATGACCTATGTACTTTAAGTTGGCTAGCACATTTATTGTACACAATTCATGAGCATGGTCTCTGCTAAACATTTGGTTTGAGCTTGGGAAAACAATAATAAGGAGGCACAATGCATGTTGTGAGCAGGTGCTTTTCCGAAGTAGGTCATTCACCTGAACTGTCAATCATGAACTGAATATTTTTCAACATTGTTTTTAGTCTAGTGTCCGGACTATGCTTTTTTTGACCTGAAACATGCAGTCCTTTTTTGCTGAAATGTAATTGCTTCCCAAGTTAGGGAAAATATGGTGTTTTCTGGTCATTTTTTCACTTGATGCTCTTAGTGTTAATACTGAATGTTCAGAAAGAAAGTGAGCCTTGTTCCACCAACCCATTCTGTTAAGAAACCATCCATTACCTGGAACAGCAATCTTACATTGGTACATTGAACCTCTCGCATGCATGAGACAAACATGAGGCCAAATTTTGCTGAATGCTTAAATGATGTTTGCACAAATTTGGTTCTGCTTTGCTTAAAATTGTTTTTGCAGCATTACAATTTCAAGGAACATGAACTCTTTTTGTGCTAAAATTGCTAGAAGCAAGGTACCTGACTGGGTTGGCTGACAAATGGTGGACATGCTCTGGAATTGTTGCTCTGATATTGATGCTATGCCAGACAGGCTATAAATAATTGTCTTTATGATATTTTGTTTCCTGGCCTTCTGTTATTTACCTACCTATTCATTACTTTTAATTTATTTGGTGCACAAAATGTTTTCCAGCATCATTTGTGAAGGGTGTGAAAGTTCTGCTTTTGGGGAGTGGTTTTAAACCTGTATTTATATCCATCTGAAGCCAGAATGGTAACAAAATCTGGCATATTGTTGCAACATTTTTGCAATGCTTTTATTGTAACATTGTTCCATTTTTTGATGAAAGCATTTCAGGTATTTTACCTGCCTGTGATATGTGTTATGCCAAAAGTTTACAAATCTTTGAAGCTCAAAATGCTACCTTTGTAAAGAAAGGCACCACATTTCCTGCAGTGAGTGCTGTGCTTTCCTTACATGTGCTTAGGACATATTTTTTTAGAACCAATCCTGTTATCTATTTAGGCAATGCTGGGCCCAGAGAAATGACAGGTGGGGTCCAAAAAATTGAATATTGGTGTATCAAGTTATCCCCAAGAATTGTACTTGGTCATTAGCTGACCTACAAAATATATCATGCTCTTTGATTGTGCATATCTCAAGAATTTCAATATAGCTTGTATAAGTTTTATGCTTGAAATGTCTCAAAATATGGAGGTGTTTGTCATTTTATAAGTTGAGGAAGCTTAGACAAGCAGACAAGTTAAACTTTTGAACTATTTGGAAAATCTATTCCTGGACTTCTGCCTTGGGCCCAAGCAATACTGATGAATGCAGCATGCATTGGAGGAACCTAGCATTTGAGGGCAGTCACAAAGCATGTCTACCCTCAACAAACAATTTCTGCCTTAAAACAATTCTGTAGATGACAGGGGCAGGTTGTTGGTTTGTTTAGTAATCTAGAAGGGCCTGAAACTGACAAAAGGAT